TCCACCCTTACACATCGACGCCTCTCAACGCCTCCCTCTTTCTTGGTATGTGTAGCAGCAGCTACTGGTTACGTTATACCACTAATTTAACTCTTATCTATTTATCCATTTTTATATATTTATGTTTATCCAATCTCTTGCTTTTTTAAGTCACATCCACCAGATTTTGGACACTGTTTCTGTTTGTGGGGGAAAGAGACAGAGAGAGAGAGTAAAAATCAGTAGAGTAAATCAAATTAATTATTTTTTTTTTTAAGTAAAACAAATAATAATATTGGTAAAAAGGGACAGAGCGAATATAAATGCGAGGGAGCTAAAAGTGATGGTCCAACCATACCGCCAATAAATTCGTAGAAAAAGAGTTAAAAATCGCTTTAATATCAAGAAGAGAAGAAGAGCATGATATTGATTTCTCTACACAAGTTGAATTTGTGTGATTATATATATAGAACAAAATAAATAGTCTATAGAATCATTGATTCATTTTCTTCTTTTTTTTTTTCTTTAAAACACTACAAGAATAATAATGTCCTAATATTGTCGCTATATGTTCGAATGTCGTCACAATAATACCTCTTATTGTGACGGTATTTTTTGTGACGACATAGCGACAAAAATTATCGACACTAAAAATATTATTCTTGTAGTGAAAATAACGATAATAGTCATTTTTGAAAGCCAATAATTGTCATTCAATTATGCATGGTTCATAATTAAAAAATAACTGGCGGGTGAGACGACTCAAGAGTCAAGACTAATTTTAAGAGTTATTAAGAATTTAATTCTACGCCCGTCGCTATCGTTTTATATTTTGGTAAGGTTGGAACTAAAATCCAAAAGTGTACACACTGCATAAAGTCGAGTCAAATTATATTTACTGATTTTTTTAATACCCAAATCATTTTTACAATAAGAAATTTAAGATAGACTAATTTATCACCACCTAAAATGGTCATAAAGCATCATTTACCAGCAGTAGCGCTGATTATTTTGAAAAACGTACAGGGTGCAGACAATATTGCAGACAACATTCTGGAGTGATATATGATTTTAATTTTAATGGCCGGCCCTTAATTAATCTCTTATAACTAATAAGCAACAACATGTTAATTAAGTAATATTTGCAAATGGATGGATGATCCAATCATATCCAAGTGTGATGTGATTATTAATTTATGGCAGACAAGACAAGACAAGAGTAGTAGTTTTATTACATCATATATATAATGGGATTTACATTACTACAATTTGTGTGCTGGGACATGCTTTTTTGCCCTTCCTTGGTAGTGGGGTGCACGAAACTACTTGCTCTCTGCATTTTTCTCTAATGGATAAAATATATTACAACTTTACTCGAAGAAAGCTTGAGAATTTAGATAGTGATATGTTCTTTCTAGGGATCATCAATCACCCTTAAATAATAACAACTCGATCATAGGTGTCTCTATCTTCTCTTGACTTTCTAAAATTGTATCTTAAATCTTTTACTTTTAGGGAAAAAATCTTTTTTATCCAATACAAAGACACATTAAGTTTTTCACCTCAAAAAGTGTGAATGTTATGCGAAAAGTGTCGCATATTCATCGCATAACTGTCGCATATGCAAAGGTTATGCGAAAAAGTGTCGCATATCAATTGTATAACTGTCGCATATTCATCGCACATTAACTTTTTTTCACCCCAGAAAGTACAAAGGGATATGCGAATGTCTTCGCACTTTTAACTTTCCCGCAATGTCATCGCGCAATTGTCGCATATTCGTCGCACAATGCCTTTCGCACTTTTTGGGGTGAAAAACTTAGTTTTTTATTGGACGGTGTGAAAAACTTAACAAGACTTCAAAACAGGATGAAAATAGTTATTTTCACTTACTTTTAATAGGTGGTGATAAAGGTTTATTTAAATGAGGTAGCAGTTTGCTATGGAGCCATCGGATAGCTCGAAGTCATCCACAATTATTCATCAATATTGTATTGACACGTGTCCTACAATAAATACAATTTGAGCTATTTTTGGTAGACAAATCAGCTAGCTTATAGCTTATTTGGTTAGCTTATAAGTTCTCCCTATTCAAATAAGGCTCGTTTGGTAGGACGAACTTTTTTAAAAAACTCAACCTTATTTGATAAGCTTCCTTAGGTAGTTTTTCAAATAAGTTAGTTGAATTTTTTATTTCAGCTAGCTTATCAGCTAATTTTATAAACATTTTTATCATATAAGCTAACTTACCAGCTATAAGTCATAAACTATAAGCTATAAGCTAAAAAATTGTTGATAAACTATATGCTAGCTTATCAACTAGTTTATCAGCTAGTTTTACCAAACATAGTCTTGAACATACATTAAGTGGTGGATGACGCTATAAGAAAATCATCCGATGACTCTATATAATTTTTGAATGAGGTAGTGAGAAATACACTTGGTGAAAACGATATATACTTTTTTTTTTTTTTACATTTTTTCTATTCATTTCATCAATACATATTTTTGGGTAAATTATAGGAATTCCTTCTCAAATTAAGATGTAATTTTAACATCAATTACTTAGGGCATGCTTGTTTATAGTTAATTTACTCACATTATTTCTCATAGTCAAAATCTAACTCAATTTTATTCGCTATTTTTAATATTATTTATATAATTAAATAATACAAGCCAATCATTATTACATATCATATCAATTTTAATTCACTATTCGTCTACTCGCATAATTTTAACTACCTATCATTTTCAACCATTTCCAATACTTTATTTTCTATTTTTACATCAAATTAGTTTTAATCATTTTATTTTAAATATTATTTTAATACATTCTTAAAATTCTACTAACAATTAACTATATTATTTTTTTCAAAATTAACAATGATTAACCAAAATAACTAATTTTAAACAAATTATTTCATAAACAATCAAGCCCTTACATTGCTATTCCAATTTCAGTGTCTTAACTGTTAAACACTCGCAAATTCCATATTATGCGATTAAGTTAATGTAAAAAATAGTTAATTTGTTGAACATTTTATTTATTTTCTTGTTAATTTCAGCAACAACTTTTTTTCTCATATATATATATATATATAAAATGAAGATCAATAGTGTTTCCACTTTCTTTTCTCTGGAACCCATGACTTTTTTTTTTAATTGAATTTAATGTCTAACTATTTTATAATTCAGACTACTATTCAATCATAACTATTTCATAAATAACTAAAACTATTCACAACTGGAATGAATTTACCATCTGACTAATAAGTTCAATTTTACTATCTGACCTTCATTTATTTATTATTATTATTATTGTTGTGTTTTTTTTTTTT